GCAGTTAGGTGGATTTCAGCTTGATATAACAATATTCTAACAATTACAACTTTTCCAAAAGTGGAATGGGTTGCCTTGGGAGATAAAGGGTTTTGTCTCACTATGAGTCTTCAAGTGAAGGTTCAGTGACTACTAATGAGGCATGTTGTAAAAGGAACACTTACTCAAAAAGGAGTTGGATTAAATGGTCTCTAAGGTCCCTTTTGGGCAGCTAGGTGGTGCAGTGGATAGAGTGCCAGGTCTGGAGTCAAGAAGATTCATCTTCCTGAGTTCAAGTCTAGCCTCAGACACTTACTAGCTATGTGACCCTGGGCAAGTCACTTAACCCTGTTTGCCTCAGTTTCCTCATCTGAAAAATTAGCTCGAGAAGGAAAAGGCAAACCACTCCAGTATATTTACCAAGAAAATCCCAAATAGGGTGGTGAAGAGTTGGATATAACTGAAAACAACTGATCAACAACAAGATCCCTTCCAAATTTGCTATTCTGTGATAAAATAATAACAATAACTAATATTTGTATACTATTTTACAAAGTGTTTTCTTTTGTACAGCCCAGTAAGGCAAATAATACAACATAGCTGGTAAGTATCAAGTTTAGATTGTTGCTATTGAGTCGTTTCAGCTTACCTTACAGATGAGGAAACTGAGGCAAACAAGGTTAAGTGACAGGCTCAAAGAAAAATCACATAGATTGTAAATAAAGGTTTACTGAAAAATTCCAGGGGAACCTGGGCTTCCGTGGCAGCTGTAGGCATATGATATGAATGCTCTGGACAGGAACAGTTGTATCATCATGCCAAATTAAGGAGACTGATATTCCAAACCAACCTGGATTTCCCAAGGCTGATGCCCACCAACCTGAATGAACCTTTCTGGTTTTAAGAGACAAGTTTTCACAAAGCTTACTGATAAAGATCAAAAGCAAAGGGCTCCAGAACTCAGTTCTCCAAGTGACAAGATCTAATTCTTTTTGAGACTGCCTAAGTCCCAGCTGAAGGGGGCAGTTGCCTGGGGGTGAATCAGTCAACAATTCAGTTAGAAAATGAACTGAGACCTAACTCAGGCAAAGCCAAGGCTCAATCAACTGGCCTCTTTATCTAAAATGAACAATACTTTCATATAAATGAATCAAACCCATCTATGGGTAATTCTTAATTATAACCACCAAATCTATAGATGAGAAGGGAAATTTCCCAGTAAAGCACAAGGAATAAGCAGATACTCTGACTTATATGGTGATTTCTAACTACTGCTAAATTCAGGGACCATATAAACAGATAATAACAAATTTCAGAAACCCAGACACCAATCTTTTTTCTTTTAAGAAGACTGTACCCGCCCTGACTCCAGAGCTAATGCTGCTTTCTTTGTTCATCTCTGAAACAGAAAGTTCACAAAAGGAGAAGAAACCAGATATAAGTTCTAGATACTGCACAGTGGTGCCCAGCTCTAACTGGTCTCAGAGTAAGATTCCACTCAGAGCAGAACAGTACTCTGACCTGGAAACTCACTTGATATTTTCCCCAAAAATATTTTTAGGACTTTAAAAAAAAGAAAATGAAATGCAAAAGAATCAGGTGGTCTCAGCTATGCACAGAGTTAACAGACTATAAGAAATTGACTCAAATTTATAAGAATAAGAGGCATTCCTCAACTGATAAACAGATGAAGAATACAGACACACTGATCTCAAGGGAAGAAACCAAAACTATTTAGCCATATGAAAGAAATGCTCAAAATCACCAATAATCAGAGAAAGCAAATTAAAACAACTTTAGGACTTTCCCTTACATCCATCAGATTCTCAAAGTAGACAAAAAAATTACAAGTGTTGCCAGGGATGTGGGCAAACATGCATATCAATGCACTGTTGGCAGAGTTGTGAATTGGTCTAGCCATTCTGAAAAGCAAATTATTAAACTCTGCATATCTTTTGACCCAGTGATGAATTATTGCATTTCTATCCCAGAGATCCATGAAAGAAGAAAAGGTCCTCTTTTTTGTGGTGGCAAAGAACTAGAAACTAAAGGGGTCCCCATCAAATGGTTGAACAAATTATGACATGAGAGTTAATACTAGGTCTGATGACAGAAAGGTTTGTGTTGAAGTAACTCCACTTAACATATGATGTTCTTATGAAGACTCTGGCTGTTTGGCCTCGGGATCTGGGCCTTAACTTCCTTCTGTGCCTGGGGTGAATGAGTCACTAACACAACCAGAAAATGAACTAAGATCTCCTAATTCAGGCAAGCTCAAGGCTCAGTCAACTGGCTTCTTTATATAAAATGAACAATACTTTTATATAAATGAATCAAACCTACCCATTGGGTAGTTCTTAATTACAAAAAATCAAATCTATGTGTGAGGAGGGAAATTTCTCTGTAAAATGAGGGTAATCATATTTGCACTACCCATTTCACAGGGCTATTGTGAGGAAAATTCTGTGCAAACTTAAAAGCACTGTATAAATGTGAATAATTATTGTCATTGTAACAGCCTGTTTGAGGAATTAGGGTTAGGGAAATAGTGTCCTGAAGTGTCATTTGCAAAACAATAACTTTTGATATTTTCACATCTCTATACAATGAATAAATAGAAATTAACGATGAATGGATCTAACAATCATTTAGAGGTGTAAGTAAAAATCCTGTGGTACTTTCCTTCCTTCCCCCCTTCAAAATTCACTTAATACCATCTGTGTGTAAGGCACAAAACTATGTATAAAAATCTCCTCACACTTGTATTTTGGAAATAAGATACAAAAAGAAACACATACATTCTGGGAGGTTATATTTCAGCAGAATTTTTTGGAGCAGGAAAAAAATCTCAACCAAGTAATTTTATTAGGTCTGGATAAACCTTTTGCTGCATTGGCTTTATGAAAATAACATCACGAAACACAACAACATAAAGAATAAACTGTTCTAACTTCCAGTCTTAATAGATCCTAATTTCTGTATGAAGGGCAACGAGCCTTCAATGTATTCTAAGTCAGTTCTTACATGTCCAACCCTGGCCTTTTGGAATGCACTGAGGTTGAAATCCATATCATTGTCATATGCAGCCAACTAGATATTCTTATCAGATGTCTCTTGTTTAAAAAAAAATTATTATGGGCTTCCATCCTGTCTGCTGTACACTACTGACTTCTCATGTTTCTGGTTTCACTGGCCTCTGTGACTATTTGTTTGAAAAGTGAAGCTGCCCTCGATGCCCTCTTCCCTGCTGATTTCTGTGGTTACCTGGGATATCTTTTGATTGTTTTCAGTACCTAGCACAATGTCTTACATACAACTGGTATTCAGTGTTTTGGGGAGGAAGGGAAGGAAGGAAAGTACAGTGAGGCCACAGGATTTCTACTTACACCTCTAAATGATTAAATGAGGTCCACTAATTGTTAATATCTATGTGTGTATGTACATAGACAAGTGAAAGTACCCAAAATTATCATTTAAGCAAATGACGCTATTCCCCTAACCCTAATAATCCCCAGATTGTTATGATAATAATAGTAGCTCAATTTGTTTGTACAGTGCTTTAAAGCTTATACAGAACTTTCCTCACCACAACCCTGTGAAATGGGTAGTGCAAATATGATTATTGTCATTTTACAGAGGTAGAAACTAAGGCTCAGAACCCAAGGTCAAACAGCCAGGATCTTCATGAGAACATCTCATATTTAGAGGAGTGACCTCAACACTAACCTTCCTATCATCAGACCTAGCATGTCGGCAGTCCTGAGAAAAAATTCCCGTTACCCTTATCTGTTAAGAGCAAGGGTCTAATTTTAGAACACTATTATGTTTCCTCTATACAAAAATGAACCTGACTTCCATTGGGTCAGCTACTCAGTTTCCAAACCATGAATGGTTGATCCAACCATCTCTTGCCTGGAGATGACAAACAGCCTCAGAGTTGAGGCTTTGAGTGAGTTAAAATGAAAAGATTTCTGCTGATCCTAAAGCTAAGGGCCAATGCCCTAGCTGACAGCTATCTGTCAAAGGGCAAGACTATGGCATCCAGTTCATGGACCCATTCAGTAGAGATGCCATGCTGAGAAGAGCCCTGCAGCTGAACAACCCACCTATTTCATCTAGCAGCTATATTACGCAGCCTGGCGAGCAGACCATCCAACTGCCAGGTGACCTGCTTAACCCAGCTGAGCAGCAGATTGCCTAACCAGCTAAAACACCAGTGCCCTAAAAAGGAGCAAATCCCAGCTGAGCCACCCCTCCAGCAGAGACATATGAGCAGAGGAGTGACCTGGTCCATCATGCCACACCCCCAGCAAACATCATAAGGATCCTCTGGAGACATCGAGGACATGGAAGCTCTGAATTCCCAGAGTTGTGAGTTGTTTTTGGCCACTTGTGCACCCACAAATGTGCCTCATTTCAACTTTATGCCCCTTTTAGATACTTCTAGAACTCTGAAGTGTACTTTTGGGAGAGGGTACGCTTGGTGTTGAGGGCAATGCTTTGTAATTACTATTCTTGCTATGCCATTTGAGCAAATGACTATGTTAAAGAACTGAATTTAATGGCTCATTGTTAAGAAGAAGCAAATCAGTGGGGACTTATGTACTCTGCAGAACAGTCACTCATAAGGTTGCCCTTTGAATCCTGAAAGTGGTAGAAGGTACTGTTCTTGGGACTCAACCTGCTGGTGCCAGTGAGAGCTGGGTGAGGGAGCCCCAAGGAGTGTGTCACACCAAGAATAAGGTTTCAAAGAATGTTTACTTATTTCTCCCATGATCATCTCACTTTTTTGAAGCTGGAGACAATAAAACAATTTAGCTATTCACAAGACCTAAAAGATTAGTTAACAAAATGTTAACTTTCTTGTGGGGTTTTTTTGGTGATGTTATTTTCATAAAGCCAGACCTAGTAAAATTACTCGGTTGAGATTTTTTTCTGCCCAATAAAAAATTCAACTGAAATATTTAAATTTCACATAGCAAGGAATTCTCAGTTTGGTCCTAGATCAAATCAAACAGTACCTTCTGCATTGAGATGCATTGTTTCCAAGGGTCCAATAAAGGCATATCGCATTCCAAGACCATCTGACATCACAATATCAAGATCTGAGGGAGATATTAGTCCTTCCTAAATGGAGAAAATGGTATGAAATCAGTCAGTACTCTGAACAAGCAAAGCAATTTGGTTATCAACATCACTGTGATTCAGATGTCTTGAGGAGAATGTCAAGAAATAGCCCTCCAATTCAGCCAATCTATATTAAGCTTCTACTATACTTGTTCTGGTCACTGGGGTACAAGGACAGACAGATTTCACAACAGATAATGGAATAAACAGATGCATGAGGCAATTTAGGGGAATTACACCTGGACAAATATTCCAGAAATCATGTACAGACTTGAAGTGGAACTCTTGTGAGGCCTGATCAACCAGAACATGGCTTTGCAGCCATTGTGACCATGACATTGTGCCCACTTCTGATCTCTGGGGCTCAGTTTCCTCATCTTCAAAATGAAGGGTTTGGATTAAATAATCTCTTAGGTTCCTTCAAATGATCTTTTTAGGTTCAAGCTCTAAATCCTATAATCTACCAGTTGGAGCTTTCAAGAAAGGGAAAGAGGGAAGAAAAATGAGGAAATGAGAACGGGAAAAGCTGAAAAGGGTACTCCTTGCAGTTTCCATTCTCTCAGGAGTGGGGATGGAATTGAAGTCATCAAAAAAACAAATACACATGGATGTCACTTCAAGCTCTTTTAATAAAAGCATTTGATAAAGCACTGCTATGGATCTTAGGTCTGCACTTGGAAAGATGGGACTGCAATATTTTGTAAAGAGGATGTAAAGTGTTACTACTGGAGAACACACTCAACTTGGGCATTTAAATTATTCTGGGCTACAAAAGCCTTCATGGTTGAGGAAGCAGTTATTAAGCAGCTGCTGTGTGCCAGGAGTTATGCTATGTGCATGGGACACAAAGACAAGACAAAATTGTCCCTGCCCTCAAGGAGCTTACATAATAGTAAGAGACAACAACATGGATTTATTTAGTACCCAAATACAGAGTATAAACACAGTCATTTCCAAGGGAGAAGGCCCTAATGACTGGGAAGATTAGGAGAAGCCTCACGTAGGACAATCATCTCCAAATGTTTTTGATCCTATATCCCTTCAGTAAAAACTATTTGAATATATACCCCTAAGGTGGATACATTTACTTATTTAGGAATGTATACTGCACATGTATACTGTACAACTAATAATTATATTATAATAATTACATGTATATTATACACATACACACTATGTATTTATATATAATTATATATTATAAAGCATATGCAAAAATAGAAATTAAAAGAGATAAAGATGAAATATTTAAAGCATTTTTATTTTATTCATTAATAGTTCAAAAAACCTTTTTGCTTTCCTAAAATAGTATCAGTAATAATTTTTTAGTGAGAACAATGTTATTGAATAGGCCCCATTAGTTTTTAGAATTAATTATTATTTATTATTATTTTGAGAATTTGATTTAACACTTTGTGATACAGCAGTATATTTTGATGGTTACTATCCTTAGTTCTCTAAGAGGACCAAAATGACATCACTATGCTAGAGTCAAGTTACAGTGTGTCCGCCTGTGGCTGATCAGACCAATACGAGCTCAGAATGTTCTACCACAGGTTGGGCACAAACAGTCCGTATGAACACCTGGAATGGATTCGCTAAATTTGCACATCTTGAGGTTTTGTTTTTTTTTTTTAGCTACTTCAATTCCGCTTTGCTCATAGAGCGCAGCACCTTCTTTGATAAGGGCATGCCATGTTGGACGCTTCCGTGCCAGCTGATATTAAGAAAGCCAAAGAACAAGGGATAGCATCCCTCTCAACCTCTCTGAATCACGGAATTATTGCCCTTTCCTCAAGATACCTCATACCCCTGATGTGACAATGTTACCATCTGACACACGGGACAAGCGAGAGTGTTAGTGTCAATCTATATAATCAAGTATTAGTAAAACTTAATTTCTCTTTTTTAGAAATATCTTTTATCAGCATTTGTAACAGATTTTATAAACACATAGAGGAAAACCAACAATACTTTGCTCTTTTCACATCCTGTTAATTAGCAGCACCTGATCTGCTGCTATAAGGGAACACAAGAGGCTAGTTTGCAAATAGGGGTCACACAGTGTGGAGAGTAACTTCTATTTGCTTGAGGAAGTCAGGCTATTACAACTGGAGGCTAAAAAGCATGACTGATTGATCAGGATGAACCTTTTTAATTGATTATGCCAACTGTTGCCTGAAATACAGCAGATGTACTTCAGTTAACTATGCTGAAACACTGATTTGGGATGTGCTTATAAATAGCTCTTCCTGGGGGAATGAGCCTTGTTCTGCAACTCTCCCTTTAAACCTGCAAGTAACAAGGTAACCAGATTTCTTCAAGCTCTTTTTTCTTTAGGTAATCATGCTGTCCAGCCAGGCTTCAGAAGTCCTCTTATATTTTTGGATACACTTAGTGGTTTCTCAGATTCCAAACTTGTTTCTTTAGTAACATAGCTTTGCAGGAACATTTTTCTTGCGGCCACCTTCCTGTCTTTCTTGGATTTGGGGTCCTGAAATATCTGAACTATTAGACGGTTATTTTCCTCTTTTATAAGAGCACTTACATATAGTAGTAGAGCCAATTCTTTCAGCAAATAGTCTACAGCTGCTTGTAATGGCAGCATCAGAAATCACAAGAGAGACTAACCCCTACTACCATTCATCTGCATTCCCAGCTCCTGGGAATGTTCCATTTTCTTTGCATTCAAATGTGGGACCTCCAGAGGGGCTATAGGCTGAAGTAATTCATCAACCACATTTAGCTAGAATATGATTATAATATTTTTTACCTAATCTACATAATTCCTTTATTAGTACTGTTGAACAAAGTTTCAAAACAGCCACTCATGATCAAAATTCTCTGGCTGATGAAAACAACTTAAATAAGGTAGTTATGGTACATGTGAAAAAAGAAAAGAAATCTTATCATGACAGACATCTCCTCATAGTAAAAATAAGGCAGCAGACAACTACTACTCATTGGTAGCCTTTTTAAGGTATGCTATCAAGTCTGCCCTTTCTGCCTTCTTAACGTCTGCAAAGATCATTTTTGTTCCAGCGATATACTTCTTGGGGTTCTCCAAGTATTCCATCCATGTATTCTCTCCCCAAGTGATACCTTTGTTTTTGTCAGCATCTGTGTAAAAGAATCTTGGAGACTGATCAGTCTTTCAGTCAGGGAGTCCATTCAGATTAGGTCCAGTCTTGTACTTGCCTCCCTTGTCAATTGTGTGGCACTGGGCATGCTTCTGCACAAAAATCTTCTTGCCCTTCTCAACATTCCCGATTGTGAAGCTGGCTCGGCCTGCACCCTCACACACTCCCTTGCTCACTCCCCACTGCTGGTCTTGACTAGCACTTCCTCTCTTAATGGCATTTCTTGAAGGGCCCAAACCAATGACTCACAGTTCACATGAAGGTCTAAGGTCCTTGTAGAACATGAAGCTTCAGCATCCCACTCTTTTCCATCAGAAAATGAAACTATTTTGCTGAAGGTACCTGCAGGTACTTGGCAGGACAATGACATCTGTTCCCCTCCATGGTTTTCCACCTTCATTTTTTGCTTCTTTCAAAATATATTGATATCAACCCATTAGAGATGCTCTTTTGGAATAATTTTCCCATTCATCTCTTATTCAAAGTTTTCTCTAATGTCTTGTGTTTGGCATTTAATACAGCCATAAAATTCTTCTTCACATATATTCTTTGTGTACAAAAGTGACCTTCTTACTGTCCCTCATACATGGTAGTCCACCTGTAATCTCTAGGCCTCTTCACTAGCTGTCCCCAATGTTTGGAATGTACTTTCTCTTCATTATGTATACATATATATATTCATAGAATCAACAGTTTCCTCCAAGACCCAGGCTCAAGCCCATCTTTCCCCACAAAGTTTTAATTGACTCCCCCTTCCCCCAGTACTAATCTTTCCATCAAAATTACCCTATATTCATTCTGTATCTGTTTGCATGGACCTATGTGTACATGTTGTCTCCTTCAAGAGAACGTAAGCTTCTTGAGGGCAGGGGCTATTTTAAGTTTATCTTTATATCCCCACTGTCTGGCACATAGAAAGTGATTATTAATTAAATGCTTGCTGATTGACTGTCACCTTCCACCAATCCCACTGACCTGACTGCTCCCAGTAGCAGCCCCACGCACCCCATGTTAGCCTCCATGGCTTCCCCAATCCCAGATTCCTGAGCCCTGCTGGCTCCACCCAAGCTTTTGTCAGTCCTGGTCCTGATCCCAATCCAGTGCTGCTAGCCCCACTGTCTCACTGGCATATGTGCCTGGTGCTCCTGCCCCTAACCTTTAGAGGGAGGTGTGGGAAGGGGATAGAGACCAGTAGACTCTTTGGTTGCCACTGCCTCCTATAAAGTGGCCTCTTCAAGAAATTGGCAGTGCTCAGAGTTAAGGAGCCCAGGCCCTTATTTTCTTTGTGGACCTTGACTGATCATCCTATGTACCCCTTAGTATATACAGGCCCCCACTCCAGAGATCATTGATGTAGGAGATGGCACTTAAGTTAAACCCTGGATGCAACTTAGGATAGTAAGAGGCAGTGGTAAAGAGGAAAAGTATTTGAGGGGTCAGGGGAGAGAGTAGACAGTCTGTGAAAATTCATGAAGACAGGAGATGGGATGTCATGTAAATTTTGTCTACAGGGAAATAGCAAGTAGGCTGTTTTGGCTGGAATGTAGAGTGCCCAAAGGAGAGCAATGTACAATAATCCTGAAAAGGTAGGCCAAAGCCAGACTTGGCATAGGGGAGTTGCTCATCTCCTCCTCACCCCCCTCCCATCATTATTTACAAGGGATAAAAGGGACTATGTAAGAAGTTTGCACTTCAACTCTCATCCCTATCTCCTAAACTAGTGCCTTCTTTTACAGATGGAGTATTGTGTGATGAAGGAAAGACTTCTGCCCAGGAACAGCCAAAATAGGTCACCTACAAGAATGCCCCCTGCACCCTCAGTTATGGGCCACCACTATCATCCGCAGCTTTTTGCAGTGC